ACACACACACACACACACTAGAAGTCTCCAGTGTGTGCTGTTCAAAATCTAAAGTCAACCATGAATACAGAGGCTGACAGGCCAATTATCAGATGTACTCCCCGTTCTGCATCCCCACCTCTGAGGGGAAGCAGATGTGAGAATCCTGTCACTTTTACTCAAGCCAGCACAGTTACATGGCCCAACAACAAAAGGCACAGCCTTCACAATAAATGGAGATGGACAGAGATGTAAACCTTGTCATGCAGTTTCATCTGCTGGATTTCCACATTTCAAGCTTCAGAAGATGCAATAGAGTGTAGTGTCCGTCAGACTTCCATCCCCTCTATAGTTTCATATAAAACTGCATTTTTGACTGCTGATGCTTTGGCATGCACTGGTGCTGGTAGAAACCTCTTGGAAAATTTTGACTACCATCAAACATTTCAACTTCTATTAGAAATAATCACCATTTCAATCCCTGACATAACTGAAAAAGCATCTCTTTGCTTTGCAGGTGAATGTAGCTCCAGCATGTGTTAAAGCCTTGACCAGGATGCTGTACTGTCCATACTGTCGTGGAATGCCTGGGCTCAAACCCTGTCCCAACTACTGTCACAACGTAATGAGAGGCTGTCTAGCAAACCAGGCAGACCTAGATTCTGAATGGAACCTCTTCATTGGTAAGATCTGAATCGAGTGCCCTTGCACCTGTTTTTCGTTTTCTCTTTCTTTGTAGGTTCGTCGACATGTGTTCAAACTTGAGCTTGTACTTCTAAGGCTGCATGTTTCTTTTCTAAGGCAGTGCCTTTGAATAGTCTCGATGGGAATTCAGTAGGATGCGCTGTGATAGATTCAGCTTTAAAGGATTTTAAAGAGACAAAACTGAAATCTTATTTGTGAAACCATTTCTTCTTTTTCTGTCTGAAATGTTGTTTGCTATTGCTGGAGCCCTGGCATAGTGCTTAAAGCTCTAGTCCCTGCTGTTTGGGATTGATAAAGGAGAGTAGATCCTAGGCAAACACATTTTCTATAGTGTTTCCAGCTGAGCATGGTGAGTAATATAGCACTTCAGTTTGGCTGTAAGCAGCCGGCTGCTGTAAGCCCTCCTGTTAAATGGATACCAAGAAGGCATATAGAGTGTTCCCTCTGGATCTTTTGTAGGCCAGTGCTTTATTTGTTATGTACCCCAATCCCATCCTCCCACCCACACTAACAGATTTTTTTTTTTTAAATGGGGCACCATTTTTTAAGAGACATCCCCAAAGACTGTGTGTCAAGTGAACTGCACATCTAAGCTTTTCGCTGTTTTGTGACAAGCCTGTCATTTGAGAAACCATGAGATGACGAACCGTTTGTTCTCTCCGATGGCACGTCTGAAGTCTCAGATCAACATGGGCCCCCATGCACTGAATGAGATGTCTCACAGCTTTATGACATGTGTTAAAAAGTTAGTGTCTTGTTTGGTTGTGAAGAGGAAAATCTATTGTCGCAAAGGGATGATGTGCTTGACAGTAATGGGAAAAGCTGTTGTTGCAACAGAATGATGAATCTAGTTAGACCCAAACACCCTTGGGGTGTCAGAAAAAGTGTATTTTTTTTTATTCTAAATCACTTTTTTTTGTGCAGACATGGGTTTTGCTTTGGAAAGCCAGTGTGTTTCATTGTATTATAATTAGAAATGCAGAACCCATGGGATGTTTATTTTTTGCTACAAAAGATTTGTTTTTGATGTCTGGTGACATTTTGTATTTGTTATCTGTTGCTAAAGTACTGTACTTCAATTTGCTTACCATGCAGCTCACAAGAAATATTGATCTGCCTTTCAGAGACAACTTCTAAATGTATCACAGGTCAGTTCTCACCACTGAAGCATATCTTTACATTATAGAAATTTATGGATTGAACCCCTACACAATCTGTCATTGTCCTCCTTTCAAATCATCAACTATTAAGGGAGGTTAGATTAAAAGCCTTGAAGAACCCCCAGTGGCATTTACCTGTGGACCTTGCTCATGTTTAAATGTCACTATTGATACCATTGATGTTATCAGTAGTTGTATGACCACAGGAGAAGCTCAAGGCTGTTTTAGTATTCCACAGCAAGTAAAAGAGGAGAAAAAAAAGCATGTATAAAGTGCTGTTTCTTTATTTTCATTAAAATCAAACCAATAAATCTACATTTTTATTTGCTATACCAAATCTACCAAGAAAAACAATTTTTTTTTCTGGCACGTAAAATAGTTACTAATGTGTTTGCAAGCGTAGTGCTCCTAACACTCCAATACACAGCAAGAAAATAAAAATATATATATATATATTCACACACAATAGTACCAATACGCCTGTAACATCTATTTTTAATGATGGTCATTTTGACATGTCACGACAGAAAAAGGCACAGATGTAGTTAGTAACATTAAGGTGAATTGGTGCCAGAGCCCTTCTGCTGTAAGACAGGCTTTGTGGCTTAAAATGAAATCATAATGTCATTTCTTACATGCCATGTATGTCTGATATTCACCATGGAAATGTGATCTGTAATTACATTGAAGAACACAGAAATAATGGACAAAATTTGTGAACATTTTGTTTTTACCTTTGGTTTATTTGCCAGGTAATAACTGGCAGGCCAAGTGTTTTCAGTTTTTTGGGTTTGAATAATTTATCATTTGAAGTTTTTTCTTTTTAATCTTCTTTCCTGAGAAGGATTTTTCTTATACTGAAAATACTTTGGCTTAACCAGACTTCGCTAAATGCCAGTAGATTTGCAACCTTACTGACATTAACATTATTAAACTTAATACACATGTCATTTAGACTAATAGAAATAAAATCCTGTCGCAACAATCAGGTTCTGGCTACGTGTTATATTGCACTTTAGTGTATCTAAACCTTGAAAGGCAGATTTTAATAAGCATGACTCCATCACTGTATGAAAACAGCTTTGCTTTCCTACTTTCTCTTTAAATATTTATGGAAATGTTCTTTGCATGTCTGCTCAGTCACCAAACACAAAACTCACAGTGACTTCAGTCTTTTCTCTCTCGGCACATAAAAGTTGTGTCACATCTGACAATCACAATTTATCTGCCATAAGATATGTTGTGTCTTTTGAATTGTGGAAAATGTAAAACACGGTTTGGTAATTTTATTCTTGTTTGTTTGTCAGATGATGGTTTTGGTGTTGTGGGTTTTTTTGTTGAATAATTAATTAATTCAATATTATATTTAATCTATAAAATAAGCCAATAGGTCAAGCATAACATAGATTAAATATATCAAATCTATGCAATGCTCTTTACACCTTGTTATATATATTTTAACCTAACCCTATTTAAGTATTAATATTGTAAGTATTAAAAGACAGTATCGCAGTGGTACTATGTAAGAGTAGGTGGTGAAATATTTTTCGTTCTATCTAGATTACACAAGTTTTTTTTTTTCCCAGCAGCCATTTTGACATTAAATAGCGGATAAACGCAGCGCATAACCTTCATAATGTCCTTATAACAGTTGGGTTTTACCTACCCTTTCATATCAGAGTAACTGCTGTGAAAATAGCCTATGCCTTCGTTTTGAATAAAAGAAGAGAGATTGCTCTAAATGCTTTACAGAACCATTAAAATGTCTCTTAACACTGACAATGCCTCACCATGAGATTAGAAACTAAAATATTGGCAATCAAACAAATTAACACCAACTGCTGATTTTATTGGATACATTAAAAAAAGCAGTTTGCATGTTAAGATGTCAGCATCACATTGTATCTATGCGAGCATTAAAGCAGAAATCTGTGTAGCATTGAAACAGTAACGACCTTGGTGAATACTTTGATGTAGCCTACATATTGCTATGCAGAAGAAGAATGATCACAGCATCGGTTTCATACATATAAAGTTACAGTCACAGTACAGTAGTTTACACTTTGTAAAGGTTACTGTAATGACATTGTCACTTGCAGGCTGAAAAAAAAAAGACAGGCAGTTCATGAACAATGAGGATAAACCTGAGGAAGAAAGTGATTTACCTGCTTGTAGCTACCCGTGCTGAGTGATTTTTGTGTGTGTCTACACGTGTGTGTCTGCGTGTGTGTTCAGGGAAAGAATTCAGGGTTTGGCCGTTGGATGATCCTAGACCATCAGTCACCTGCCATTGTGACAAATTTACCCGGCTCTGCATCATGACAGACACATCATTATCATTTTTCTTGTCAGCACCTTGTTAAAATACCCTCAGAGAGACGGCGAGAGAGAGAAAGAGGAAGGGACACGCATCCTATTATTCAAACTCTACAGTAGCTTTTTAGGCTCAGGCTACATCGTGAACAACGTCATTTTTGACAAGCAAATGTTATCAGTGTAACATAACCGTCTCAGCTACATGTGGCTAAAATTAGAGACAGATAATAATTGACTGTTAACCTCTTTCTCAAATAGGAGATTTAAAAATTGCTTTGCAGCTCTAACTCCAAATGTCAGGCTTGTCACTGGATTTCACATTTCACAGTCTTAACATGAAAAGAGTTTGATGGGTGGCTTCAGTATTTTCAGCTAATTAGCCTAATTTTAGTTTAATGTTCTTGTTCAATGCCCCAGCAACCCTAGCTAATATTACCAGTTACACTCGACATACTTACTGTTTCATTCCTTCATGTTAAAAATGCAACTGAATCTGCAAACCTGGCCACAAAACACTGCTAAACAAACAACGGCTAACCAACTATAAATATCAGGGTCATTTAGAGACACAACTTTCAATCTGCTGCTGCTGCTTATATTAGCTTAGTTAGCTCGCTTTTAAGAGTTGATACAATTTTACAGTTACAGGCTACGTCCACATGTACATGGGTATTTTTGAAAACGCAGCTTTTTCTTTCCGTTTGGGCCTTTCGTCCACATGTAAACGGCATTTTGGATCACTGAAAACTGGGATTTTCCTGCCACAGTTTTTCGAAAACTTTGTTTTTGCGTTTACATGTGGATGAGGAAAACTGAGATTTAGTCACGCAACGCCAAAGGTGTGGGGCTTGTTGACGTCGCCCTGTGCACCACGTTATTGTTTACATGAGATGAATTTCTACAATGGCGGATATAGACAAAATATACACTTAGAGTTACATATAGACACACAGTTACTGTCCCTCCATTTAGAAACTGTCATCTTTAACTTTTTCCCTCCTAGGTTCTAGACTTTCTGATCGGCCAACATTAGAGAGTAAAATGGTGAATGCTGTCAAACAAGTTGGCATCTTTTATGAAAACTATGGGTGATGTCAGCAATCGGCTTCCAAACAAAGAACTCAAAAGCAGCTTTTTTGTTTAGGGAATACACATTTTTCAACCTGGTGTGACTGAGACCTTTTGTACCAAGCTATAAACATGACTCTTAATAAGCTTAGCTGGGTATTTTAAGATGGAGCCTATTAGGATTCAGTTGCTTTTAGAGCATCTCTAAAGTGGTCACTACAGAAGCTGCATTTCTTTCATATTTCAGCCCTGGATGATGCTGCATGCACCTTTATCCACATTGCTGTTGCTGGTAGCAGCACTTTACTACCACTGAGAGACTCAGGCTCATTTGCAGTCACATCTGCTTGCTTAAATTAAGCTAATAAATAAATATTTTTATTTTTATGGAGGTTTTATATCTGATATTTGTATATTGTAAGCTTATTACTATA